TTGAAAAAAAAATCCCAAAAAATTAGAGACCGGCGGCATTCATTTTTAGCATTAGACACTGGCGCTATCAGGTCTGAACATGAGAGAGATCGGCGGGGCGCCGGACTCTAAAAGCCTGGCGAGATCCCTGCTTACATTGTCAGAATCTAATGTGGTTCCTAGTCATTAATAAACCAAAATGATAAATTTATAGAGATATTGTTTGAAATTGAAAAAGAAGAGAAATCAATATCATGATTCTTATTACTTGTTATTAAGAACTTATGAGGATGATCTTTTTATATTACCAGAGTCTTATATAGCTTTAATATCTAGCCATATTACTCAGCTCACCCTGCCTACCTTTACCCACCTTATATTAACAGTTTGGTCCCGTTATCAGTTTATAAATACGTTTAAAAATATTCCTGAGACCATTATATTGTTTAAGCATTGAGGGAATTAGCTGGTCAAAAATATGAGTATTTGTTGATCAAAACATATATGTCTCCTAAATTATTTTTGCATTTCTTCCTAACCATTCTTTTGTGAGGGTGTCCTGTTTTCAATTTGATGGCTTCCCCTGACCTGCCGTGGCTGCCTGTTAGTTATTATTTTATTTGATTAGTATCAGGCTTCTCTTTTTAATTAAACAAAGGACTAATATTTTTGTATTCATTTCAGGTCAACTGAGACTTCCCTCAAGTACATATTCTACATATGGATCAAACCAATTCAGCCAAACTACACAGAGAATTCAGAAATCACCAGGTCACAAATTTGAATGTGAGACCTGTAAGCGTGGATTTACTCTACGCAGGAACATGTTAAGGCATATAAAGACCCACACTGGAGAGAAACCATACAAATGTGATATTTGCTATAAATCATTCACGAGACATCATTCAATGCGAGATCATATGCAGCTGAAACATTTTAGACCATCTGATCCAAACTAAAAAAAACAACATAAAAATGTAATTAAATGATTTCCATAATTTGCTGTATGATGAAGTGATGATTTCTTAAGAATTATGATCATTTGAAATCAAAAGTACAAAACCTTATATTTTTGAACCTCAAAATGGTTCAGTGGGACAAAATTAATGGAAAATTGTCTTAATTCAACCAGCTAGCTTCCTTAACTTTTTGACACATACGATGAACACCACTATTATCTGGAGATATTATATTATTTTGCTTTCAAGGATTCCGCAGTATATCAGATTTATCAAGATAATTTGCATGTGCCAGCCACAAAAGCTGACTTTCTATTTCTTGTAGAAAGCGGAGTAATGGGAGTAAAGCATTGTATTAGATTACATTGTTAAAACATAATGATTTGTGTAAAATCATGAATTCTAATCTGTTTTGATTTTAATTTCAGCACTCAACCTCCTGCAGGCTGAGTCGCAGGCGTATCTTCTCCATTTCCCTGGCCAATCAGATGAGTTCATGAAATCGCAGGAGGCACGGGCACCAGTTGTGTCTGAACTAATCAAATCCAAGGAGAAACATTTCTGTCACATATGTCTCAAAACGTTCACATTGAGGCGCAATCTTTGGCGTCATACCCAGGAGGTGCATTCGGGGGTTGGCGCCAACAAACAGCGACGTTTTCAGTGCGACCAATGTGAGAAGAAGTTTGTAAGAGCCAGCAATCTGAAAAATCATAAACTTAATAAACATCCACTGCCTCAACTGGCTACAGAACAAGAACTGCCAAAACCAAGTGTTGAACATGCACCCCCCTAATGCAGCATTATCCTTACAAGGGTAACACCCAATCTGCTTGGCTAGAGGACTATAAACCAAATTAATCTGAATGGACATTTAGAAGTAGTCATACATAATAGTCTAGAACCATATAAACTGTACATCCAATAGAGATACAATAATTAAGTGGTGTATTGAAATATTCTGTAGCATGTAGATTTTCAGAGTTATCATACTCTGCCCATTGCAATGAATAAAACATTGGTCATATTATCTAAAATTTGATAGTTTAGTAAAACTAATTCTGGCTATAGAGATACATGAAGAGTTAAGTGTGTGAGTGCAAGAGAGAGCAGCTGATGTACATGTTAACCACCCTCCCAATAAGTCTCATCATGTTGTGAAACTAACAACCAACTAACTGTGTTATCTTGGTAAATGAAGCAAGCCAAACGAGTTCAAGGAATATAATTACATGTATGAAGATAAATAAGTATAACTGGAAAGATTTTGGGGTACATTTGGTAGATGTGTATCTTTATTTTACATTCACTTTATTGGTAAAGTTATCGTATCAGTCTTAATATTTCATTAACCATCTTTCATCTATCTTTCAGATTATTGGATGCATCTCAACCAGAACCCCAATGGAACACCCCCAGAGTCAACCACAGATTCTTATCCAGAAGATGCTAGCCTTCTGACATCCTTTGGGGCTGAACCACTGGAGGTTAACCCCCGTGTGTCTTTTGTAATTAATCAACCGCAAATGACCATGGCTTCAGTGCCTTACCAAGGCCAAGGGCCCACTGGCTCAGTACCCAAGCCAAAGGTTAAGTGTAAGATCTGTTTGAAGGAATTTACTGCAAAGAGAAGCCTAGACAGACATATGTTTCTTCATACTGGTGATAGACCTCACAAGTGTGATATATGTTCAAAGGCATTCATACGTAAACTACAGATGACCACTCATAGAGCAACTCATTTTAAAGACTGAGATGAACAAATAGACTAATGGGCAACAGTGTTATGTGTCATTGGTTCTATCATATTGGGTGTAACTCATACAGGGCAACATATGTTAAACCTTAGGGTGAAATGGAGAAATGAATTGATGGACTCATTTTAAAGACTGATATGAACAAATAGACTAATGGGCAACAGTGTTATGTGTCATTGGTCCTATCATATTGGGTGTAACTCATACAGGGCAACATATGTTAAACCTTAGGGTGAAATGGAGAAATGAATTGATGGACTCATTTTAAAGACTGATATGAACAAATAGACTAATGGGCAACAGTGTTATGTGTCATTGGTCCTATCATATTGGGTGTAACTCATACAGGGCAACATATGTTAAACCTTAGGGTGAAATGGAGAAATGAATTGATGGACTCATTTTAAAGACTGATATGAACAAATAGACTAATGGGCAACAGTGTTATGTGTCATTGGTTCTATCATATTGGGTGTAACTCATACAGGGCAACATATGTTAAACCTTAGGGTGAAATGGAGAAATGAATTGATGGACTCATTTTAAAGACTGATATGAACAAATAGACTAATGGGCAACAGTGTTATGTGTCATTGGTCCTATCATATTGGGTGTAACTCATACAGGGCAACATATGTTAAACCTTAGGGTGAAATGGAGAAATGAATTGATGGACTAAAACAGTGTTGAACATGTGTGATCTGCTTTACCTCAAAGAGCAACACATTTTAAACATTTTAGTCTTAGTGCAATAAAATTGAAATCACCAAATGGTGAAAAGTATGAGATTTTAATGATTATAAATGCCTCTAGACATTCCTTATGTAATAACAACAACGTTATGAGATTTCAAAATATTATCTGACCGTTTTAGAGGAATAGGCTAGTAGTCCAGAGAACAGGAGTGTTTCTACATGAGGCTGGAAATGGAGCGATGATACCACCACCCTGATGATACAAGTTACACCACTCACTTTAGATATGCACCGTCCACTTTGATAGATATTAGCAGAAATAACACAGGCACTAAAACTGATTATGTTTAATAGCAGCACCACTTACAATTTTAGTTGCAATATGGACATGTGTAAAATCTGCCGCGGCCTGTTGTTTTAATATTTGCAGATTCGTAAAAGTATATTAGTTAAATGCTGTTTCACACTCAGTCTGATGAAATCAAGAGCTATGTAACAAACATTGATATCCAACATTTCAATGTTTTTTTTATTGGATAAACCTTGTATCCTCAGAATGATGAAATCAAGTGCTTTTTGCTTTTAATCATTGAATTTTTAGCAGCTTAATATCCAACATTTTAATGTTTTTTTATTGGATAAACCTTGTATCCTCAGAATGATAAAATCAAGTGCTTTTTGCTTTTAAACATTGAATTTTTAGCAGCTTAATATCCAACATTTCAATGTTTTTATTGGATAAACCTTGTATCCTCAGAATGATAAAATCAAGTGCTTTTTGCTTGTAAACATTGAATTTTAGCTCAGTATCCCACATTCACTATGTACATTAAATTAATTATAATGATAATGAATAAAGAAATGAATTCAAATGAATTGCTTCTTGATTTTTTTAATAATGAATCGTGTACATGCTGACTGAAACTTTGTAGCACCTTTACTAATTTTGATGTATTTCTGAAAAGGATATTGATAAATCCTGAAGAATGAACTTAGATTGGAATAAAAAATGGCAAAGGTGAAAAAGCTGATAAATATTAGTGAGATATTTATCATCAAGAAAATAAAGAAAATGAAAAGGAAATGAAAAAACATTCACGTATTCTTATGATATCAATGTTACATATCATGAATAATCCTTGTACAACATGAAAAATGCTAATGATGCACATCAGATTATCCCTTCTGGTCAATCATCAATGAAAAGATTTGGAGAAAAATATCAATCAACATGCTATGGTCTCAAAGTTTTTGTTAGGATGGTAAGTGATTGGCATTTTGTGTCTAAACAAATGGCAGGTAATGACATTTGCATGTTAATGCCTCACTATTGATGAACATTTTTTATTCTTTCAGGAAGTTTTAACAGAAGCTACCTGAATTACAGTTTACCAGGTGAAGTAGCTGATATGAGAGGAATATACGTGGATCATGATATACAAAGAGTGCAGATGCAGGATGGGAAATATGTATGCAATATGTGCTGTAAACAATTCACAGAAAGACGTAACTTGAAACAACATATGAGGATCCACACTGGCGAGAAACCATTTAAATGTGGATTCTGTAATAAATCTTTTAAAAGGAATAGTCATGCTAAGAGCCATGAATTAAGAATACATGTTGTTAACACTAAATGATATGGATTAACGTACATATCTGTCCTTATATGGTAAGGATAACAGGATTAATTAATTGTCCATATATGGTGGTGATGGAGTATTTGATAGTATGCTCATAAATAATAACGCAATTGATAAACCGAAAACATTCCAATCATAGTAAGGGATATAACAAAATGGATGGAGACTTCTAACAATATAATATTTTAATGTGATAACCAAATGTCAAGATGTATAAATCTCATGCAGAACATTTCCTCAGCTCACGGTTTTAACATGTTAATGCTTTTAAAGCTACTTGTATTTATGTATTAATATAAATTCCTTTTTAATCAATTTTTAAAACTCATTATGTTCTATTTTTCACCATCATAAATGTAATAAATATTAAGTTGTAGAATATATCTTCAGAAATTTGCTTGTTTTGTTCATTTTCTTGAAACAAATCTAAAAAATTATGCAGTATGCCATCTTTTTTTGATAGGTTTTGAAAATATAAATGGTCATTAAATCCAAGTGTAATTCAAAAATAACATTTGATGAAATGGTATTTTGTGTAACAAGATACTTCAAAAGTATCAGGAACAAATGCCAGTTTTAAATTTTTCCTCAATTTTTCTGCACTACTAATATGACTGTTTTATTTAATTTCAGACCATTTTGGCTTTATGGCGCAATCCTATATCCACACACCACAATTTGTAAGTTCAGATTCAAGTCTCACCGCAGATTACTTGGAGACTGTTTACCCTCGGAGTAGTTCTTTTCACATGGAACCTAAAGACTCATCCAGTCTCCAGTGCCACCTCTGTATGAAGGTCTTCAGTCGTAAAGGCAATTTGGTTCAACATCTGAAGATCCATACTGGTGCAAGACCACATAAATGTGATGTCTGCAACAAAACTTTCATTAGGAACTCACATTTGAGGGAGCATAAGAGCTTGCATAGAAAGTCGTCTAATGTCATGCCTTGAATAATATATAGTGTGTGCCATTATCCTGCAAAAACATAAAAATAACTTTATACTGACATTGCTAGAAGGATATTTTGTGGTTCTTACTGTAAACCACCATCCTGCAATAATTCATTGTACCATAATTAAAAGAGATCCATAGCAGGGCAAGGTGTGGAGAGTTAATTCACATATGTAAAGGAGAATATGATTAAAAGCATAAATGGAGCTTAAACTGAGAATAGGTGAAGGCTTCCGACTTTAAAAATGAATATAATCCAAACCTTGAGCAACATAACTAGTATGAGTATATGAAGATCCATACTGGAGAAAGGGTGCATACGTGAGACATTTTGGGTGCTTGACAGAATATATATGCATAGAACATTAAAGCAGCTTATCTTGCTGTCAAGTAAATGCTACCGAATCAAATAATATTTAGTCAAAAGCAATCTCTTGCCAATTTGAGAACATATGGCCAAGCATTTCAATGAACCAAGTGATACACATTGTACATTCTACAATACTGGGAATGATAGTAGCAATATTTATCTTAACTCCATATATTTGATTCTATTCAGCAAATATTGTTTTAATATTACTTACAATTATTTATTTTAAGATTTTAGCATGTGCAATGTTATTACATGTATGAACATATCCATCATGAATAAATTCATATTTTATTTAAACAAATTAGAAGAGTTTTTAGATATTACGTATATTAAGAGGCTGAATTTTAAACATAATATGATAATGAAAAATCTCAAATCAATCATTGAGAAGTAATATAAATCATATATATTACCCTGCATGCAGAGTCTACTTATAAACTACCCTCTGGCTAGTATAGACTATATTACAGTTAAGCAACCCCACAAGCGGTGCCTGTGACAGCCCCTGTCATAAATCATTTCAAAACTATCACGCTGACCTTTTCTCTACCAATCAGTGAACAGGTTAGAACACATGTTGAATACATGCTCATTAATTATGCGATGATGTGGGGAAATGACCACATGTAGAAGGTCGCCTGTTTTTTGACGATGAGCTCTGATTGTCTCGATGAGATCAAAGATTTATTGTAAACTGAGAGTGAAGGCGAAGCTCTCGTTTAAGAAGTGAAGTTGAACGAATGCAAAGGGTACATATTTATACGATACACTGAAACAGTTGTATGAGATTTAAACCTGATACATCAATACTTGATTATGTACATGTACACTGTATATCCAAAATGTTGCCAAAGCAAATGGCCCATCAAATGTAAATATTTAAGTTATCTTTACCCACCATTGACCATAAATATTTGAAGCTTTTGGATGACTTATTGTTGTTCATATTGCATTCAAAGAGACTGATCAGTAGAGGTGAACAAAATACATACATGTATATATTATTACCTTAACTTCTTCTGGTTTTTCCAGGTCTCGGGAAAAGTTGGATACCACAGAATTACAAAGCAGGAAACCCAAGAATCGACACACCACATACATATTCTCCATCAGCCATGAATCACCCAATGTATGGAACCAACACTCGCCCATTCCTGTCTCAAGATGAAAATAGATTCCCTTGCAAAATCTGTAAAAAGACATTTAAATCAAAAAATAATTTGAGCCAACATATGCAAATCCACACTGGTGTAAAACCATATGTTTGTAGTGTTTGCAAAAAGGGATTTTCACGTGCTAGCTACCTAAGAGTTCACTCAAAGACCATGCACAATATAGTGTGTAAATAAGACAGATAAACCTGTCTAATCCGAATGCTACTGGGACTGGTCTAAAGTGTTTGGAGTGGCAGGTGTCCACATTTCAAGGTTTTTTTTAACTCGAAGCCTATGGGAGAAATATGATCAAAAAGCATTCACATTGAGAGATAGTTGACAGGTTACTTATTCAGATATACCGAATATTACTGTATTTGAAAACATTGAATAAATATTTAAGATTATGTAAGAATTATTACTGTTGAGACTATTGCTTCATTTAAAACAAAGACAATTATGAACATTATACAATAGTATTTTTATTAACAAGAACAAACAGCTAGACAAACAAACAATTATACTAAGGAGAAATTAAGCTCTAGGTCCATGAATTCAGCATTTATAAAATCCTCAGAAACCTCTGTCAATACTCTTATTCCAAAAAGGCAATATAGATTTGAAAATATTTCTGAATTTTGATTTATTTTAATATCTTCATTCAGCCATTGTGTTTGAGGTGTTAATTATGATTATTATACTATTCGGACCAATAATAATTTTGCCTTCTACACAATTAATGTCTTGTATGTATTTATATGGACTCTATGAATTATATGGAAATAAAAACTTGACCTTTTAAACATCATAAAAAGTGAACTTGCATTGTTATTTGGTCCAATTTCAATACAGTTTGCGAAAAATGTAATATCAGTTTTGCTATTTTTCAGGTAACTTCCCAGAGACATTGATACAGAAAGGAGTCCAGCCGGCATATAGGAACAACATTAAAAACTTCGAGAATTCCATGATTGATCAACAAACTAATATGAGATTTATTTGCAAACTTTGTGGGAAAACGTTATCTGCTAAGTGCAGTTTACAACGTCACATGTATATACATACTGGCGAGAGACCTCATGTATGTAAAATATGCAACAGGGCATTTAACAGAGGGAGCAATCTGAAAGTACATTTAAAACAAGTTCACAACATTTTTGATGTCATTTAACAGACACAAAGACACATGTTCATATATACTTAAGACATTAGTAGGACTGATGGCTACTTTGATCTAATAAAAAATATGGAGCAACTAACTCGGTTCCAATAATTACAATGCCCATGACTGTCTGTCATTAATGCTCCTGTTCCAGTCTCAAGTTTCCCTCGCTTTGCAAAAAGAAACTCAACATGGGAATCCACACTGGAAGGAAATCAACACCGATGTAAAACTTATGGAAAGACATAATCATGTGCCAGCAACTTCACAATGAAACCATTACTGTGTTTAAAAGCAACTTAACATTTAATAAATAATAAACTCCTATATATTGTGTTTAATACAACTCAAAAGGAAAACATGAAGAAGTGTAGCTAAATATTAAGAAATGGTGTATTAAACTAGGAATGTAGTAAAATAGTAACATAAATAAATTACATAGTCCCAACATATTCTTTGTTATGATTCTCATGTTTTTTGACTAGATGCAAATAAGTTTATTTGAAGTTTCAATTATGGATAACAAGAAAGAAAGTGATCAGCCTGGGAGATAAGGACAAGCATCTAGCTAAAGGGGAAAGTTAAGATCATTGGGCTAGGGGGTAGATGATGAAAGAAACCAAACAACCATTGTAGGATTTATTTTCCAGCAGAATAGAAACATCTCCTGTATAACAAATGCATATTAGTGTCCTATAATTTTATTGATAATTGATATTTTCCAGATATCCAAGAAACCATAATGATACGAATGGCTCAACAGGTAAAGAGAGAAAATGCACCAAATCTACAGTATGTCGAGATGGTAGAACAACCTGCAATGAGATATACATGTACTCTCTGTCGGAAAAGCTTCACTGCTAAAGGCAATTTACAAAGACACATGTTTATACATACTGGCGAGAGACCTCATGTGTGTGAAATATGTAATAGAGGATTCAACCGAGGCAGCAATTTGAGTGTGCATAAAAGAAAAGTTCACAATATTGTCTAATGTTTCTATAGCAAAGTAGCAATTTGAGTGTGCATAAAAGAAAAGTTCACAATATCGTCTAATGTTTCTAAAGCAAAGTAGCAATTTGAGTGTGCATAAAAGAAAAGTTCACAATATCGTCTAATGTTTCTCTAGCAAAGTAGCAATTTGAGTGTGCATAAAAGAAAAGTTCACAATATCGTCTAATGTTTCTACAGCAAAGTAGCAATTTGAGTGTGCATAAAAGAAAAGTTCACAATATCATCTAATGTTTCTACAGCAAAGTAGCAATTTGAGTGTGCATAAAAGAAAATTTCACAATATCATCTAATGTTTCTATAGCAAAGTAGCAATTTGAGTGTGCATAAAAGAAAAGTTCACAATATCATCTAATGTTTCTATAGCAAAGTAGCAATTTGAGTGTGCATAAAAGAAAAGTTCACAATATCGTCTAATGTTTCTATAGCAAAGTAGCAATTTGAGTGTGCATAAAAGAAAAGTTCACAATATCATCTAATGTTTCTATAGCAAAGTAGCAATTTGAGTGTGCATAAAAGAAAAGTTCACAATATCGTCTAATGTTTCTACAGCAAAGTAGCAATTTGAGTGTGCATAAAAGAAAAGTTCACAATATCATCTAATGTTTCTACAGCAAAGTAGCAATTTGAGTGTGCATAAAAGAAAATTTCACAATATCATCTAATGTTTCTATAGCAAAGTAGCAATTTGAGTGTGCATAAAAGAAAAGTTCACAATATCATCTAATGTTTCTATAGCAAAGTAGCAATTTGAGTGTGCATAAAAGAAAAGTTCACAATATCGTCTAATGTTTCTATAGCAAAGTAGCAATTTGAGTGTGCATAAAAGAAAAGTTCACAATATCATCTAATGTTTCTATAGCAAAGTAGCAATTTGAGTGTGCATAAAAGAAAAGTTCACAATATCGTCTAATGTTTCTACAGCAAAGTAGCAATTTGAGTGTGCATAAAAGAAAAGTTCAAAACATCACCTAATGTTTTTATAGCAAAGCAGTAATTTAAATGTACATAAAAAGTTCACATCATCTAATGTTTCAATTGCAAAGTAGCAATCAAAATGAAGTTTGCAACATTACCTAATGTTTCTATAACATATTTGTCAACTTGTTTCAATGACTATATGGTAAGGTGTAACACTTGCCAGAGAGACATGTTGATAAAAGATATTCGGAATGTGTAGTGCGTTATTGTAAAATGGCAAAATATAATATGCACGCTGCATAATCAACTTTCTCATCAACATCCAGTATGATCTACATCTATCAATATATAATTAATACTCTATTTAGAGCAACACAATTAGTTATTTTGAAGTCGTCCACGCTGGATGTTGATGATCCAAGCTGGATGTTGATGAGAAAGTGCAAGATGATACCTTACAACTGTGTACACATCTCTCCATTTCCTGATTTGTAAGTGTTTCTCAGACAATGTCTTATTGTGACATATTTACTGTGCTATGGATAATACATGGTAAAATGCATCCTCAGATGTGTGGGCAATTTACAGTTACTGAGTAATAATGTACTTTACAATACAAGATGTTTGCAATAAACTACAGTTTATTCTACTTGTACCATAACTTTGACTTTTGTTGCACTATTTATTATTGTGACTTCCAGTATTTCTAAAATGAGCATTATAAAAAGAAATGACCTTCTTTGCTTTGCTCGATGCAACAGAACAACGATATCAAATTATAAGGAAGTGAGCTTGCCACTTTCGTTTATTGCAAAAAGTACAGAATGGTATTATGAACATGGAAAATACAAGTCACAATAAGTAAAAAACGCAGGTAAGGATACTGAAGATCTAAACGTAGACCTAAATTACATGATTCACCTAATAGC